TATATATATAACACCATGAACTGTTTGTGTCACACCAAGTCCTGGGTTTGAGTCTCTTGAACTACATCAACAGCTTGAAGGTCAAGCTACTGCCACAGTTATCACGTCGATGCTAACTTTCCATGACGTTGTCACGACCAGAGTCCTAGCTTCACAAAACAGTTCTGCAAAATGGCTGCAAAGACCAGTTCTGTCTCTGAGCTGCCTCTGATCGGTCATAAAGCTTTGCAGAACCAGAAGAGGCAGAAATCGCACCGAGACACAGCCGGTCTCAATCCTGGCTTCAGGTGTTTATGTGGAAGCATAAACATCAAATCCTGCAAAGACCTTTCACACTGCAGCTGATTTCTAACCAAAGATCTCATAAAAGATACATTAATTTGTCAATAGACATCAGATGTCATATTAATTTTGATTTATTTATGCTGTCTTTTGATATGAAGTTGTTTTTTTTAATGAAGATTATGTTCCTACATTTGTTTTCTTTATTTGATTTGATTAAAACTGCACACGTGGCTACATAAATCCTTGTGAAACAGCACAATCTATGAATCTGTGAAGCTTTTATTTCGAACATAAACCAATTAAATCTTAAAAATGCATACAAACAATAAAAAAAAAGTTTTTGTGTTTGTTCCAAGATTTTATTACGAGCTGGAGTGAGGTCATATCTGTGCAGGTTTATCTTTAGAATTCAACCTTTTAGCTGTTTCATCTGCGGTGGAGCAGGCGCAGCGTGTACAGAGAGGCACATAATTTTCTTTTTCAACATGTGGTCTCTCGTAAATTTACCCCACAGTGAACGACTAATGGATCTTTCACCCTGCAGAGTTGGAGGCCTCTGACAGAGAAGGGCTTTTTAGGGGTTTTTAAGATGGCGTACTCACAACAGGCTCTGAAAGAACATCATGACAGAAAGGCGTTAATTATTACTCTAACAGCTCTCAAAACCTCAATTAAATAACTGTATGAAGTTTGATATGAAAAGCACAGAATGAATTGAGTCAAAGTAAGAAAGAACAATAAAGTTCTCATTAGAAGTGAGTCATATAATAGTATTTGAACAACACATTTTCACTCCACAACAATGTGCTGTTCAATTTTTGGGATCAAAAGGCTGCCCGGTGCCCTTTGATTCTCTTTTTCTTCCAGTCAGCAGTAGCTGTTGTACTCCAGTCAATACACACTTGGGTACCGGGACCTTTTTTCTCGTCAAAAGGTGAAGAATTAAATGCCTGAGTGGTCATACGGGGAGCTGAGCCACCAGACTTCAGATGCAATTAGACTGAGGTAAGACTTGTTCAAACAATAAATGCTTTGGCCTTCTGGATGGATGTCGTCCATTTGGCTCTCAGAGCGGCATACTTTCAGGCCGGTTACATGGTTTCTGCATCAGGTAAACATATTTCTCTGCAGGTCAGCCGAGCCAAGGCTTCTCATGCATGGACACACCATCCATCTAAAGTTTTTTAGGTTGCATTGAAACATTGCAGAGGGTTGGATAACTCGTCTGTTCATTGCCTGCTTTAACCAGGTTTTCTTTAAATAGGAGATCAATGCTAAAGCATATTGGTTGTTTTTTTAGCCAACTGAGCAGCAGCAGGAGTGGCTTATACAAGGTTATTTGTCTTGGTCAAACCTTGAAAGATGATGCAATGTAACAAAATTTGTTCACAATAAACTTAAGCTCAATATTTGTCAAACTAATTGCATTAAAGCTGCTTTGAGTTTGATAATAAGGTTTTTCTGTGGTGGCCATTTTGAACTCTTGACTCCAAATGATAGATGGTTGCAGGGATTCTGAGAGCATTTTCAAAACAACTGAAGGTAACACAAGCTGCGTTTCCATTGACCATGTAAATGCGCAAATTCGAATTTCAAAAATAAATTTACTCAGTGGAAACACGTCAATTTTGGAAAAAAAATGTTTTCGACAAAGTGGTTTTGCACTAGGAAGAAGTGGTTTTTGGCCGTATCAAAATTGATGTATTTCACAAAACTGTAATGGGAACACTTTTTTTTTCGCATCACGGGAGTCACGTGATCAACAACCGTCTGTTTCTACTGGTGAAAAAGACGACGAAGAAGAAGACAACAGGAAGTAAAACTAGTAGTAAAATCACCAAGTATTAAACTCACCTACTACATTTTCCCAAAAACACAGCATACGTCGCCGCTCCCAAGTATAAGGGGCTTGTCACTCGAAAGCCTCGATAAGACGCCGATGTCTCCTCTGATGATGAGCGCTAGTGTCGTGGTAGCAAAATGCTATTTGTTTACATCCATTGCCACCATGTTTGTAATGACTTATCATGAGAACAAACATATCCACGTGACTTTAATAGCATTTTTACTTAATGAAAACACCGCAATTGCAAAACTGTGTTTTTCAACATTAACAGAATATCGACAAAGTTTTTTGCACATTTGCAATGGAAACACAGGTATTGTTACTTGATTGTGGTAAAACTAAACCACGTGTCTTGAAACTACAAACTGACAGTGGTTCATGACATATTTTGCTAACAGACAAATGGGGTTGACACCAACAATATACCTAAAGTTTTAAGCTAAGGCCTTTCACAAAGAGTAGCACTTTTTTCTAAGATACAACCACATCAAGATTAAGCACTGTTGCTGTAAAACGACGTTATTCTCAATTTATACATTTTCTAAGCTTGTTTGGCCGTGGCAGCCATCTTGAATTTGGTTGACTCCAAAGAGTGTTTAATTATAAATGTACAGCCAGTGGTGGGCAGCACTGATCTAAAATTTGGTTCCATTAGCCCTGAAGCACTAACTTAAATATTTAGGTCCCCTAATTCTAAAGCACTAAAGCACTGAAAATGTAGCAAAAGCTAATTCTGAAGCACTAAAATAACCCAGTCAACCCATGAACATTCTTCAACAGACAACATGAGTCACATGTTGCCATGTAGCTCTCTGAAGCCTTATCACTGATATTCC